CGTTAGTAACGGTTGGTAACGACTTATATAAAAAAAATTATAGTAGACTACTAAATAAAAATTATTATTTCTATTTATAATATAATGACTATTTAAAATTTTTATTACAACAATAAAATACAAGTTTATTTATTGAGTATTAAATTCATTTTTAATTAATATATTTTCATCTTAAAAAAATTATTAATGATTTCGAAAATATAATTTTTTTCTTTTCTAAATTAAAAAATTATTAACTAATTAATCTTTAACGTATATAACTTTTTAATTTTTTAAATACGAAGTTTATATAAGTTTATCAATAAAAATAAATTATGATGTTTTTATTAAAAAAATAATTAAAAAAAAAGAAGAAAGGAAAATACAAAATTCGAAAAACTAATAAAATTTAACAGCGTCAATAAAAATTTTTCGTATGGTGCAAAATGAAAATAATTCATGTTCAAAGTTTTAACATTTGATAATGATTCTAACTTCGTATATAAGTTATCAATTAAAAGTATCGATCATTTGAAATGACACGATCCACAAACCGATATTGAACATCACGATCTGTCCACTGATAAATGAAAAGTTACATTAATTACTCTAATGGAAAAATAACAAATGACATTGATATTCTGTATCATATATTAAATATCAGTAGCAATAAATAATATTTTTATATTATTATTGAGATATTCAATTTCATTAGAATATGTTAGAGGATTTTTTTTAATGCAAGTATTTAACTATTGAAATATATTGGACCATTCTATACTGATATTGATTTTTAAATCAAGGAACAGATGTATAAAATATGAATGCAATATTTTAAATTTTTGGCATCAACTCTCTTATTTATATTTTCTGCGCGTTATATCCATATAAAAATTTTAGATTTTTATGTGAAAAACTGAAGAATTTTACTTGTGTTTTATATTGGAAGCATTTCTAGTTTGGTGGTTTATCCACTTTTGATAAAGATGGATGTGTTTTTAGGACGGGAAGTGGCGATGTTTTCAAAGCATAAAAATATAACGTGGAAATATCTATCGAAGAGCGAACTATATAAACCACTAGCAAGAATAAAAATAAAAAATAAACTCATAAAAAAAACCGATAAAAAATAATTAAGTTTGAAATAATTTTGGATGGTGGCACCATCTGATGTTAGAATAAAAAACTAAAATATTTGATAATGTGACTTGAAGTCAAAGATGTAATTAAAGAAATAGATATAAATCACATAATAATAATTCTCTATCAATATTAATTTAAATAACAAAAATCTAAATATATAAAATTGCTTGTCCTGACTGACTCATTCATTCATTCACTGATTCATCATCGCCCAGAGCAAACCGCTTAACCTAAAGAGGTGAAATTTGGTACACAGTTAGGGTACGTCATGGAAACGCACACTAAGAAAGGATTTTTCGAAATTCCAACGCGGGGGGGNTTTTAAAAGAATATTTTATTATTATGCTACTAACAAGATCAATTTACCTTTATCTGCAGTGAAATAATGTAGAATAATTTAAAGTTTAAAAATTAATTCTATGCATCACGCAAGATTTTTAAAATGACTGTTCGTGTATTAATCGATTAATTTGTAACACTATACTTTTTCTAATGAACACAAATCGATGTGAATTAAAATTTATAAAAGAGATGAAGGTTTATTTTTATAATATATAATACATAAAAATTGTTATATAAAAAGTAAATTATTGATATTATACGTTGAATATAAAAAAATCATAAAAAAACTGATAGTAAATTTATTAGATATTCCAATATATGCCCAATATTTAGAACGTTTTTTGAAAAAGATTTTAAAAAAAGATTTAATATATTTTGGAAATTTAAAAAAAACAATTATTATTTTTATTTTGATCTTATTCATTTTAATGATAAAAAGAAATAAAGAGAAGTATTATTATAATTATTTTAATTCTGTAGTTTGTATAGTTCATAAATATATAACAAGAATAATGGTTTGCTTTAAAAGACATAAATAAAAAAATTGCCACTATAAATCCGAAATGATTATTATAATAGAACATTTTATACACAGTGAACAATTTTAAATATTGTCAATGTAGTATTTTATTGGAGAAGAGATGAAAGCAATATTCCGTAAGTGCACCAAAACCCAAACCTTTCTATTGGAAAGCCGTTCTCTTCCATGCTGCCAACAGACCAACTTTTATCATACGTACAGCTTACATTATAAATTAATAAATTTAATTTCATATACGTATATTCATAAGCAGAGTTAAAATCTATTTGATATGCAGTCGCGCGATACCCTTGAATTTGGACTGGAACCCTATCCGAAACTCCTTGATTTTCATCATTGAAGTAAAAAAAAGGAAGGATGTGCCATGTGACGCTTTCTCCGTAGTAAGCGCTGAATCCGGTTTTTACGCTAGCACGTATTTCATCGATTAAATTCGGGGATGTTTATTTGAAGGTCCAGTTATTTCTAGACCGAAATTTATTACCTTGCAACAGAAGAGAGTAAAAATTGAAAGAAATATCTTAAATACTTGAATTTTTCCGGAATTATCAAAACCGTTTATGGATTTTGATAATTTCGACCGTATTTATAAGTTTCAGCTACAACATTTGAAATAATTAGGCCTGCCCTTTTAATAGTTAACCCGATTTTCAGCGTCCTCCATTTCGGTTGTAATATTATCATTCGAGCCTGTTCGATGTCATTGTCCGAATAATCTTGCCTACCATCTTCTGATTCGAACTCATCATTTCCAATTCGAATTTTCCTAATTACGCTTCGGTTGATCAGCTCTCGATTTGTGAACTTCCCAAACCCGAAATTCTACGATATTTATAATTTTATTTCAAAAACAGATT